TGGGGATATCATCTCCCAACAACCCATCTCCAAGATCATTTTCTCTGAAAGGCAGACTGAGCTGCTTGCAACTCTGAAAGCATTTCCAGAGAAGGGCAGACTGGCTTCATAAACGCTAAGTGAAATCCTGTGTTCTTGCCAGACATTTTGATATATGAAGCAATGCTGGTAAAGGCTTGTGTGAGGATATATATATATATTTTAACCCCCGTCCAGGGTAGCCACTGAATGGCAGTTGACAATTAGCTGCTAAGTAAAAGGGGGCACTTATTTTTATTGCGGGCCCTGACAGCTTTATGCTCACTCTTTAAAAGCCAAGAGTCATGTGTGTAAAGGTGAGTGGGGAGGGGAAGTGGTGTGGGAAGGAGAAGGGAGGGCCCAGGCAGGTGCCGACAGATCCCATGATTTCTGTATCAGTTGGAACCCAAGGAGTATTTACAAGCATGTGGTGATCTGGAGGCAGAGAGGACGGTTCTTCCAGTTAGCTGTGGTGGGAAGGCCCGAGGCTGGCCAGGCAGAAGCTGCGAGCTCTCGGCACCGCCATGCCTCATGTTCCCAGGATGCCGCGCTGGGAACTGGGCTGTGGCTTGACTGCTTGGGCACTGCTCTTTTGCTGGGATTTCAGGAGGAAAACCCCCAAGCATCGAAAGAAAGGTATTTCCTCCTCATTTTGTGATTCAGTTCTTCTACTTTAAAGACAATTTTCTCAGCTCTCCTCCCTTTGCTGTCAGGAATGGTGGGTGTTCTTGGAACTGAGCCCCTAAGAAGCAGGTACCAGAGAGGGGCATAGTCAAGGGGGTGGGGCAGGAAGGCAGCTTTCCTAGTGACCTGGGTGGGGAGTGGCTCTTGGCCTGAAACCAGGAGTGTTTGAGTGACAAGGAAGAAGGAACAAGGTGACAGCTGATCCCTCCATTTTCACTTTCCCACACCAGCCCAGGGACCTGACATTTTCTAGCCACTCTGGGGAGGGGACTTGAGAGGTGAAGGATGAAGGGGATGGTCTGTGAGGAAGCCTACGCACTGCCAGTGTCTGTGGTAACATGGTCTCACATTTCTGTGGTTGCTCAGGTTGGAGCACCTTCTGCCCAGGGCAGTCTGGGGACTGGAGATAAACAAAGTGGAGGTAAGGTCACATGGGTTGGCATTAGAGGACTTTATGTAAGAAACAGAATCTCTACCCCATAATCCATGGCCCTGAGACCTGATGATGTCTAAAATTTCACCAGGACAATTTTGTTCCATTGACTTTAAACAAAAGGAACTAAATCTCTGAGTTTAGAGTCATGGGGCAGACGAATATGACATTGGACAGATTTCCTAACAGAGCCTCAGTTTTCTCATCTGTAAGATGGAAACAATACTATGTATCTTGTAGAGTTCTTATGAGCACTAGATAAGATAGCACACTTGAAAATTTCAAAGACATTTCCTGGAATGTCAGTAATTAATTAAATTTAAATAAGATGAGTTAGTAATTAGGTTTATTATAGTATATGTAATTATTTATTTAATTAAAATTTATACCTATTAAGATGGAAATGTCTCTGCTAAAGGTGACTGGCCCAAAGTGATTTTCAGATCTGAATGAATGAATGAATGAGTTGATTAGACCCTCTCCTGCCAGCACAGGATAGATAGATCAGAAGGGCACTACTTGCCTAAAGGACTGGGGTCTACCTAGGAGGACATGGCACAGAAGGAGCAGCCTGGGTTATCCCTTGTCTTTGGGGTGGTGAATGGTCTTTGCCTCACTGTGTGTGGTCTTCTCCTTCCCTGTCCCCTTTCCTAGATTCTTCTGCTCATCTGTTTCCCATATCTAACCTTTTTGAAGATTAAATGGTGGTGATCAGGATCCAGAGGTCAGAGGTGGGTAGAACTCAGGATTGGGTCTAGGCAAGTCCAGCAATGATTTAGATGCTGAACTCCTCATATGTCATCTGAGATGAAATGTGACAAAGCCTGACCTAGATGAACTAAGAAAATAAGGGTGCTCTTTCTCTCATGTTAGAGGGGACACTGTTGGTCCTGATGTCTCTAGAGAATGTGGTGGTTATTTCTTTTTAAAGGGAATACTTCAAGTGACTTCCAGGCTGGAGAGGTAAAGCTTGGAATCTTCATCACATCAGTGATATTTAGTCATGTGGTCATAAGAAAATATCTTCAGGTGGAAAAGTGAAGCCCAGGGACACTCCAGCATTTAGAGGACAGGGGAGAAAAATGGAATCAGCAGAGGCTAATGAGGAGCAGCCAATAAGCTAAATAGAGAACCAAGAGACAGTGGCGTACCAAAAGCCATGTGAAAAGGTGTCTCAAGAAGGAGGGAGGTACTTGCTTGTCATATGCTGTCTGTAGAGCAGTTAATATGAAAATTGAGAATCTGGCCTGTAGTTCAGTGGTAGAATTCTTGCCTTCCATGTGGAGACCCAACTTCAATTCCAGCCAGTGAATCTCATGCTCAGCTCCCACCTGTTTGTCACGGGAGGTTTGCGTGTTCCATCATGCTGAACAGATTTCAGTGGAGCTTCCAAACTAAGATGGACTAGGAGGAAAGACCCAGTCATCTACTTCAGAAAATTAGCCAGTTAAAACCCTGTGGATCACAATAGTCTGATCCATGACCAATCACGGGGGTGATGAAGGACTGGGCAGCATTTTTTTTCTGTTGTGTATGTGGTATCCATGAGTCAAGAGCCAACTCAGCTGCTAATAACAACCAATTTAGAAATGTGAAGGTCATTGATCTCCTTGACAAAGAGTATATTCGAAGGAGTCTATATTTGATGAACTGTTTTGTGAACAGTAGTGAAAGAAATTTACAAGAGTTGTTTAAGAAACCACTACAATTATTTTGACAGCAGTAGATAAAAAGAGAACTGATTTAAAGCATTTGGCTGCTAACCAACAGGCTGGTGGTTCAAACCCACCAGCCATTCCTTGGAAGGAAGTTTGGGAAATCTACTTCTGTAGAGATACTGCCTCGGAAATCCAAGGAGGGATCGCTATGAGTTGGCTCCGACTCGATAGCAGTGAATTATTTTATTATTATTATTATTTTTTGGTAGAGCATACTGGTGTATTTGGAAGAAAAGAGAGGTGTTGTGGACAATTCCAAGACTCACAATTTCACTATGTGGGCTAGGTCAATGCACGTATTTTGTGTTAAATGGCTTTGCATTCTCAGCACTTAGCAGAGTCCTTGATACTTGACTGATGGACTGACTGAATGCTATTGCCCACGTGGAAAGCTATAGAAGAAGCAGTGATTTGGTAGATAGAAATGTTGAAATAAAAGAGCTGAACAGATTTCAAAATGTCTCAAGAAGACAATGTAAAGTATCATAATGAAATGTGCAAAGACCTGGGGTTAGAAAACTAAAATTTTCAGCTTTTCTCAAGCTGAAAGAACTGAAGTAAAAACTCAAGCTTTGGGTTGCAATATTAAGTATTCTGTGGGCAAAATATTGAATGATACAGGAAGGGCCAATGAAAGTGGAAGGAATACACAGTCACTGCACTAAAAAGAATTGGATAATATCCAACTGTTTCAGGAGGTACCACATGATCAAGAACCAAGGGTATTGAAGGAAGAAGTCCAAGCTGCACTGAAGGAATTGGAGAAAAGCAAAGTCCCAGGAATTGATGGAATACCCATTGAAATGTTACCAAAAAAAAAAAAAAAGTAAAATAAAATAAAAATGGAGCACTGGACGTGCTTACTTATTTATGCCAAGAAATTTGGAAGGCAGCTACCTATCTGACTGACTGGAAGAGATTGATATTTGTGCCCATTATAAAGAAAGTTGATCCAACAGAATGTGGAAATTATCAAGCAAAATCATTAATGTCACAAGCAAGTAAAGTCTTGCTGAAGGTAATTCAAAAACAGTTGCAGTATATTGACAAGGAACTTCCAGAAATGCGAGCTGAGTTCAGAAGAGGATGTGGAACAAGGAATATCATTGCTGATATCAGATGAATCTTAGCTGAAAGCAAATAATACAAGAAATATATCTATTTGTATTTTATTGACTATGCAAAGGCAAATTATGGACAACATTGCAAAGAATGGGAATTCCAGAACACTTAAATATGCTCATGAGGAACCTGTACATAGTCCAAGAGGCTGTTGTTCAAACAGATCAAGGAGATACTGCGTGGTTTAAAATCAAGAAGAGAGTGTGTCAGGATTGTATCCTTTCACCATGCTTATTCAATCTTTATGATGAGCAAATACTCAAGAAGCTGGGTTTTATGAAGAAGAGCACAGCATCAGGATTGAAGAGGACTCATTAACAGCCTGTGATATGCAAATGACACAAACTTGCTTGCTGAATGTGAAGATGACTTGAAGCACTTACTGATGAAGATGAAAGGCTACAGCCTTCAGTATGGATTACATCTCAACATGAAGAAAACCACAGTCCTCATAACTGGACCAATAAGCAACATCATGATAAATGGAGAAAAGATTGAAGTTGCAGGGATTTAATTTTCTTTAGATCCACAGTCAACACCCATGAAGGCAGCAGTCAGCAAATAAGATGTCATGTTGCCCTGGGCAAATCTGATGCAAAAGACCAGTATAAAGTGTTAAGAAGCAAAGGTGTCACTTTGAAGACTAAGGTGAGCCTGACCCAAGTCATGGTGTTTTCAATCTCTTCATATGCATGTGAATGTTGGACAATGAATAAGAAAGACTGAAGAAGAGTTGATAATTTTGAATGGTGGCTGGTGAACAATACTGAAAATACCAGTAGATTACTAGAATACTACTAGAAGTAGACTGATTTCTCTATCAGTGTGTTGGTGAAGAAAAGAAAGACAAGTATTTGTTGTTTACGTCAGATCTGGAGTAGATTTTCTTTAATAAATAGGCAAAGACTTAGATCCATGTGAACTCTTTCAATTGAAAGAGAAAATTTTAAGATACAAAAGAGAAGGAGCAAAGTCCTGGAAGGGTGGAAAGAGATGATATCCACAGCTCAAGGGTAGAGAAAAGCATGAGCTCCTCTCATCCTTCAAGAGGGGACAGGTGCAGAGAGAGAGCTGGCCAGGGATATAGGAGCAACCATCATGGACCGAAAGTGTCTCTGGGCAGGTGTAGTGGTCTTGCTGCTGCTTCAGGGAGGAATCCCAAACTGAAAATTCTCTTATCCTTTGGGGACTATGACTTTGGTTCCAAAGGTTCCACCGAGTGGTTGTTTCTTCTATATCACATTTGGACTTTATCAACTCTGTGATCCTATTTCTAAGGAACCTTAACTTTGATGGGCTGGACATAAGCTGGATATACCCAGATCTAAAAGACAGTACTCATTTCACTGAGCTGATTCAGGAATTCACAGAAACCTTTCAGAATGACTTTGTAAAATCCAAAAAAGAGAAGCTTCACTTGACTGCCGGAGTGTCTGCAGGGAGGCAGATGATGGATAAAAGCTATCAGATGGAGAAACTGGCAAAAGCACTAGATTTCATCAACCTCCTGTCCTTTGACTTCCATGGATCTTGGGAAAACCCCCTTGTTGCTGGCCACAACAGCCCTCTGAAAAAGGGGCAGCTAGACAGAGGGACAAGCTCCTACTACAATGTGGAATATGCTGTGGGGTACTGGATAAATAAGGGAATGCAGGCAGAGAAGGTGATCATGGGCATGATCATATATGGGTACACCTTCACACTGGCCTCTGCAGAAACTGCCGTAGGTTCCTCCGCCTCCAAGCCTGGAGCTGCTGGGCCCATCACCAAGTCTCCAGGCTTCCTGGCCTATTATGAGGTTCAGTTTCTGAAGAATTTAAACCTGGGAGGGGCTGTGATCTGGTCTATTGACATGGATGACTTCACTGGCAAATCCTTCAGGCAAGGCCACTACCCTCTTGTCCAGGCTGTCAAGAGAAGTCTTGGCTCTCTATGAAGACCCGAAACTGGGCCAGGCTTTGTGCTCCTGCAACTGCTGATGACTTGTCCTGTGGCCACAAATGTGGCCTCATTTGTGCAATCTTTTACCTTGTGGTGTGAGGCAGTCCTGCCCCTCCTGTTTGTGGAGCCCAGGGTGAGGGTACATTGGAGGCTTGCATGCCACATGTTTGCATACTTAAAAGAGCTAATAAACTGTTACAATATGCTTTCATTAGAACAACAACAACAACAACAAAAAAAAAAGAAGGGACAGATACACACACAGAGGGATAAGGAAGGGAGAGGAAGAGATTGGAGTTATCCTCTACTGTGGGAGATAAATGAAAGAGGAGACTAGGTCACCTGCTGGGAAAGAAGGGAAGAAATAGGTGATGAGTTTGAGAGTGGTGAAGATTAGGAACCAAGGGCTACAGAGATTGGACATGTAAATTTGCCATGAAATGGATGTGCTGTTTTCCCTAGTAGTCCTCAGTGGCCCATGTGAAGGAATGGAAAAAGTAATGAAAATTGGTTGGGTGGAAGTGTGAGAGGGATGAGGAGTGTTGGGAAAAAAGTACACTGGCAAGACTGACTGTGGAGCCTAGGAAGAATAGAGAATGAACACAGGGCAAGGTTAGTGAGCTCGGATGGGAAGAAAAGTTAGAGGACCAGCTGTGCACAGGGGTGTGAGAGGTAGCTTGGTTCCCAATCACCAGCAACATGGAACGTCTATCATAGACACCTCAGAAATGGAGCTCACACTTGAAAGCACTGATTTCTCTGTGCCCATCATTACCATGTGTCTGGACTCTCTTTCTCTATGAGGGTCCAGTGGGACCTTGAAGCCAAGTTTCAGATGCTCTGAAAGCATTTGTCTTTCCCCTTGAAGTGCCCCCTCCCCATACCCCTTGCCTTAGTTCTCTTGTGCTGCTATAACAGAAATACCACAAGTGGGCGGCTTCAACAAACAAATTTATTTTCTCATCATTTAGGAGGCTAGAAGTCTGAATTCAGGTGTTGGCCCTAGGGGAAAGCTCACTCTCTGTCGGCTCTGGAGGAAGGTCCTTGTCTCTTTGAACTTCTGCTCCTCGGCAGTCTTCATGTGGCTTGGCATCTCTCTTCCCTATCTTGGCTTGTTTGTTTAATCTCTTTTATACCTCAAAATAAATTGACTCAAGAATACCTTACACTAATCTTCTTTTATTAACATAACATAGACAATCCATTCCCAAATGGGACTATAACCACAGGCATAGAGGTTAGGATTTACAACACATTTGGGGGGCACAATTCAATCCATAATACCCGTCAAAGGGGACTTTACAAATGGCATGTGGTCTATGATTTAAGTCAGATCATTTCAATCATATCCTTCCAATTTGGTGAAAAATATCTGTCCAGCTCCTTTTAGAGACAAATAGAAACCTAACTCTATATTGTTCTGGATACTCTTTAATTGTTTTTTATTGTTTGGTATGTGATATTTCCATTTTTATACCTCAGTGATAAGCTGTTAAAGCAACAGCCAGGTCTTACAGTTCCTTGTATAGCTTATTCCACATGGTGTGCTGTGGAATAAGCTTATCCTGTGGCAGGATACTTCATAAATATTAGCTTAAAGTTGAATCCATTTGCTGAGGAGATTCCTGTATTTGTTAGTTGTCATCCATTGGACCCTGACTCATGGTGTCCACGTGCACAATGGAATGAAACATCCCAGTTCTGTACCATCCCCATGATTGGTTGCTGATTGGACCATTGTGATACATAGGTTTTTCATTGGCTGATTTTCACAAGCCTTTTCCAAACCTTTCTTCCTAGTCTGTCTTCATCTGGAAGCTCCGCTGAAACCTGTTCAGCATCATAGCAACACACAAGCTATGGTGGTAGCTGCATTTGAAGTGAATTGGTCAGAAGTCAAACCGAAGCCTTCTGTATAAAACAAAACAAAACAAAAAAACAAACCCACTGCCACTGACTCATAGCGACCCCCATAGGGTTTCCAAGGTTGTAAATCCTTATGGAAGTAGATTGGCTCATCTTCCTCCTGTGGAGCAGCTGGTGGGTTTGAACTACTGACCTTTTGGTAAGCCAAATGCCTTACTCACTATTCCACCAGAGCTCCTTTATACCAAAAAACCAAAACCAAACTCACTGCTATTGAGTTGGATCTGACTCATAACGACCCCTCCTTGGTATCACTACGGAAGTAAACTGCCCAACCTTCCTTCCAAGAAGTGGCTGGTGGGTTTAAACCACTGGCCTTCTGGTTAGCAGAAGGCATGACACCACCAGAGCTCCTTTATAGAAAGCCAGAATTCTTCACTGAACCACTACAATCCTTGTGAGATTTCTACTCGTGTTTTAGCCAAAGACCAAACCCACTGCCATCAAGTTGATTTTGACTCATAGGACCCTACAGGACAGAGTAGAACTGTCCCATAGAATTTCCAAGGCTGTAAATCTTCACAGGAGAAGACTGCCTCATTTTTCTCTCATGAAGTAGCTGGTGGGTTCAAACTGCTGACATTTTGGTTAGCAGTTGAATGTTTAACCACCGTGAAACCAGAACTTCTTTGTTTAAACTAAAGAAACATAAAAAAAAAAAAAAAAAAAATACCATTAATCATGAAAAATGCTTCCTTAAAGGCAAATTAATTTATTAAGTAACTCAGCAAAATTCATTAACTATCTACCTTGTGCCAGGTGCTCTGCTAAACAATGGGGATGAAAAGAGATTCTGTTTCTCTTAGCCAGCATCAGGGAGCTTACAGCCACACTGATGACACAGGTAGTAATTGGGATATATAAGAATGGACATGAGTGCACAGAGTAGGAATGTGGTTTCTCAGTCTAAGGATCAGAGAAGGCATGACAGACGTGATGATATGTTAGAGGGAGCAAGAAAGACAAACGGTGGCACTGTGGTTCAGTGGTAGAATTCTTGCCTTCCATGTGAGAGACGTGGTTCGGTTCCCCACCAATGTACCTCATGCACTGCCACCACCTGTGTGTCAGTGGAGGCCTTGCATGTCGCTGTCATTTTGAATAGATTTCAGTGGTGCTTCCAGACTAAGATGGACTAGGAAGAAAGCACTGGTGATCTATTTCCAAAAATTACCCAATAAAAACCCTATGGATCACAAGGGCACAATCCACAGTTGATTGTGGGGATGGCATAGGACTGGGCAGCGTTTCACTCCTTTGCACCATGGGGTCGCCATGAGTTGGGGACTGAGTCCATGAAAAGTAACAACAGTAACAAAGACAAATAGAATTCCAGGTGACTGGGAAGGGAGAGAAGAACAGACTAGGCAGAGAGAAGAGACCGTTCAAAGGCAAGGTGATGGCAGAGTGCTGTGTGCTTTGGGAACATCAGGGTAAACTGACTTTGGGAGACAAGTAGAAATCAAGCTGGAAAGTATACGGGCACCTGGCTGAACATCAACCTAAGGATTCTCCAGCTCCGGTTTTCAACCTTTAGCCACAAAAGTATTTAGTCATACCAAGTCTTACTGAAATGCAGTAAGTGAAACAGTTAACAACGCAGTAAATTTGGTTGGGAGTATGGATTCTTAGAAGCATCTTTTCAGTAACCCCTCTTCTAACTGCCCTCACCTCCTAGCATGTTATATAATGGGGGAGGGGGCCCTGAGGAACTCCCTGGGATTCGAAAGGCAATTTGAAAGACACTGCTAGTGTAATGGGGCAAGAAGTGATGGCTATTAAAACAGAGGGCAACAGTGCTCAGGTAGATCAGGGGTTAAGAAAAAGTAAGGAGCAGGAGGGGTTAGAAAGAAACTGCAGCAGTCACAGATGAGAGAAGATGTCAGCCTGGCCTCAGGCAGTGGGTGGGGGTGGACAGGAAATAGTGGATTCAAGAGCTTGTTACAACTCTGCACAGATGGAACCCACATTAATTAGGGGACCAGAGAGGGATAGAAACTAACACTAAACCAGTCGCCATTAAGTCGATTGTGACTCAAGGCAACCTCATATGCCCAGAGTTGAACTGTGTTCCATAGCGTTTTTAAGGCTATGACCTTGAGGAAGTAGATTGCCAGTTCTATCTTCTGAGGCACCTCTGAGTGGGTATGTTTAATCCACCAACCTTTTGGTTAATAGACACTTAGCCGTTTGCACCACAGAGAATCACGGGGAAATCCAAAGGGCTTTGAGAATTGGTGCTCTAGGGACTGAAGTGCTCTGTAGCAGAGCACTGCTTATGACCGGGGGAAGTCCAAGCAGGAAAGCACCAAAGCCATGCCTTGTCTTCTGAACCTCCAAGGTCACAAGAGGCTTGCAGGTTGGATGGTCCAACCATTGTCCTCTGTTTCATAAAATAACCTTGTTGCACTGCTGGGGCAGGGTAATTATAGAACCAAGTACTAACGGGGTTGGGGTGGAGTTGGTCCACATATGCTTTGCTGGAGGCAGTGCAATTTCCAAAAATATTTTTGGAAAGAAATTTGCATACTATTAAGTCATAGAAATGTTCAAGCCACTTGACCCACTAATTCTACATGTGGGAATTCACCCTTAGGAATAAGTTCAAAAGAATGAAAATTGTATGTTCCTTCATTAACATGCTAAGTAATTAAATAAGCAATTAATTAGAAATTATGCACTGTACCACACGCATTCCGAGAACGCTGCTAGAAGAATGAACATGTTCACTGCAGGAATGTTTTCTGGGTTACTTAGTGCTGCTCTAACAGAAAATACCACAAATGGGATGCTTGAACAAACAGGGTTTTATTCTCTTACAATTTTGGAGGCTAGAAGTCCGAGTTCAAAGTGCCAGCATCTAGGGGCTGGGTGAAAGCCCCTGGACCTTGGGCTTCAGCTCTGCCTCTTGCCCCTAGCCCACTGAAGCTGGGGGCTTTTCTTCACTCAGGCAGCTGCTGGCTGCTGAGGGTAACAAACTAAAAAACCTCACTGCCATGGAGTCGACTCCGACTCATAGTGACCACTCCTTGGGTTTCTGAGGTGGTATCTCTACAGAAGTAGATTGCCTAATGTTCCTTCTGAGGAGTGACTGATGGGTTTGAACTGCCAGTCTTCTGGTTAGCAGTTAATTGCCTTAGGAAGTACCTCACTGGAGCTCAGTAAAAAAAAAAAAAGAAAAAGAAAAGGCAAAGTCTCAATATTACAAAACAACACAGCAGGCCACTAATTCAAGTCCAGAAAAAGTCCCAAGATTGGCAGGGCATGGAAGACTGCTGAACAACAACTTGGTCACATGCAGGGTTCAAGTGTGCTGAAAACCTGGAGACTTTCCCAAAGCTCCTTAAATGTGGGAAGCAGACCACATCACTAAAGCAGCCACTCAGCAGCTTGCAGCAGATTCCACATAGAGTTGATTGCCAGTCTCATCATGGAGAATGACTGCCATCAGCTGCCCAGCCACTCAAAACCAGGCCCAGCCAACTTGACACATAACCTTAACTACCTCAGTGTTCATAATAGTAAAACATAATAAACAATCTAAATGATTAAAAATACCACAACAGTTTTAATACAAGATGAGACATCCACATGATAGACTACTGTGCTTTAACTCTGTGCAAAGCAAGCAGAATTCAAAATGCCCTATTAGCTGCCATGGTTAAGTGCACATTCTCTTGAGTTTACTTCCTGGACTTGAGTTCTGTGCCATGCACTAGCTGGCTGACCTGTCAAGTGATGTCTCTAAGACCTTGACAGTAAGGTGGGCATAACCCTTACCTCACTGGGTTGCTGTCAACATTAAATGAGATTAGGTGTACACAATGCATCTTTCTTCCCCCATCTTGGCTTGCTTGTTTGATCTCTTTTATATTTCAAAAGAGATTGACTCACGAATACCCTACACTAATCCTGTCTTTTTTTTTTTTTTTTTCCATTTTGGAAGTAGTTTCTTTTTCTTTCTTTCTTTTCTTTTTTTTTAATTCTGATTTGGGTGCAAGTTTACAGAGCAAATTCACTTTCCATACAGCAGTTCACATACACTCTGTCTCATGACATTGACTACATGGATCCTGTCTTGTTAACATAACATAGACAATCCATTCCCAAATGGGACTATAACCACAGACATAAAGGTTAGGATTTACAACACATATTTTTGGGGGACATAATTCAATCCATAATACCTCTCAAGGGGGACTTTACAAATGGCATGTGGTCTATGATTTAAGTCAGATCATTTCAATCATATCCTTCCAATTTGGTGAAAAAAATGTGTGCATAATTCTTAGCATTTGACAAATACTCTGAGACCCTGTGTGGTGCAAAGAGTTAACTTTCTCAGCTACTAACCAAAAGGTGGGAGTTCTGGTAGCGTAGTGCCTAAGGCATTTGACTGCTAACCAGAAGGCTGGTGGTTCAAATCCACCAGCTACTCCTTAAAAGAAAGATTGGGCAATCTGCTTCCATAGTGATGGTGCCTCAGAAACCCAGGGAGGGGTTGCTATGAGTCAGATCAGACTCAATAGCTGTGCGTTTGGTGTTTTTGGTTTTTAACCAAAAGGTTGGTGGTTCCAGTCCATCCAGAGGCACCTTGGAAGAAAGGCCTGGCATGATTTGTTGTTGTTGTTGTTGTTATGTGCCGTCGAGTCGGCCCCGACTCATAGCGACCCCTCCTTGGGTTTCCGAGGCAGTATCACTACGGAAGTAGGATTGCCCAACCTTCCTTCCGAGGAGTGGCATGATTTACTTCCTGAAAATTAGCCATTGAAAACTCTATGGAGCACCATTGTATTCTGACACACATGGGACCACCATGAATTGGAGTTGACCCTGAGGCAACAAGTTTTTTCAGACAAGTGCTCAGTTAACATGAAGTATTACTTTAAATAGGAGCTCTGGTAGCATAGTGGCTAAGGCACTTGACTGCTAACCAGAAGGCTGGCGGTTCAAACCCACCAGCCACTCCCTGGAAGGAAGGTTGGGCAATCTACTTCCGTAGTGATACCGCCTCGGAAACCCAAGGAGGGGTCGCTATGAGTCAGATCCGACTTGATGGCATATAACAACAACAGCAACAGCATTATTTTAACTATGTAAAAATATGGTCAGTAGACAAAGTCTGACAGAGACTGCCCCAAATTTCCAGCCCTAGGAGATATTATGGGTGATTTATCTTCAATATCCCACCAGCCACTCCTCGGAAAGAAGATGGGGCAATCTACTTCTGTAGTGATACTACTCAGAAACCCAAGGAGGGGTTGCTATGAATCGGATCCAACTCGATGGCACATAACAACAACAACAACATCTTATTTATTATCATTGCATTAAAACCTTTAATGTTATAGGTGACATAGAAAATCAAAAACAGATAAAGCACTTTGACCTCTCAATGGCCAAAATGTCAGGTAGGTCTGTGCTGTCTCTTTCCAGCGGTGTTTGGCCAGCGCTTGGATGAGACTGTTGCCTATGAGCAGAAATTTGGCCCCCACCTTGTGCCTATTCTGGTGGAGAAGTGTGTAGAGTTCATCCGGGAGCATGGCTTGAACGAAGAGGGCATCTTCCGCCTGCCTGGGCAGGATAACCTGGTGAAGCAGCTGAGAGATGCCTTTGATGCAGGGGAGCGACCCTCCTTTGCCAGGTACGTGATCCTCTCCTGTAATGTTCCCCTCCTCCCTCCCCTTTACTCTGCTTGATATGAGAACTTCTCTTCCCAATTGAGCTATGGGGTTTGCACAGACACTTCAAGAGCCTTGCCTCACAACAAAGCTTTTTGTTTGGTTTGTAATTCAGAATTTGAGAGCCTGGAGCATAGTTAAAATATGTTGATAGTTTATAGATGGTGTGGACCAGAATTAGGGCCTTGATAGGCAGATTCAAGAGAATTTGGGATGTAGGGGACAGGGAGAAAGATGTGTCCTAGTCTAACGTCCATCCATTGGGGCAGATGAGAAAAGAAGAGAGCTGAGCTGGCTGAACAAACAGACTTAGCTGAGCTAGGGCCCTGTGACTCTATCCAAGGTCTCCAGTGGTCTTGCTCAAGTTTCCAGAAGTGGTCAGAACCAGGATTCCTCATTTGTTTGGGAGATCACAAAACACAACACCAAACAAGTTGTCATCAAGTAGAGTCTAACTCATGCCAACTTCCTCTATGTCAGAGTAGAACTGTCCTCCATGGGTAGAAGCAGATTGCCAGGCTTTCCTTCTGTGGACTCTCTGAGTAGATTTGAACTGCCAACCTTTTGGTTAGTAGTGCAATGCTTAGCCATTTGCACTATACCAGAAAAAAAAAAAAAAGACTTCACTGACGTCGAGTTGGATAGCAACTCCTCCTTGGGTTTCTGAGGCATTTTCACTATGGAAGTAGATTGCCCAACCTTCCTTTTGAGGAGTGGCTGGTGGGTGTGAACAACCAGCCTTCTGGTTAGCATTCACATGCCTTAGGCACTATGCTACCAGAGCTCCCTTGCACTATACAGGGGCTCCAATTCTGAACTTTGTTCTGAGCCATTTTGATGGGAGTATATACTGATGCCTTGGCAACCTGGGATTCTTCCAGGTCTCCTCTGTGGAGGTTCTCTGGCCCTGTTTTGAGCCTAGCTGGTGCAGTGGGATTTCTTCTACCATCCTTCTATTCTACCTCCTTCAGCCACCCAGCAGATGTTTCCTTCCCTGACATGCTCAGCTAGCACAGTCCCTCACCCCAGCATTGCATATCTCCTGCCTATTGCACAATATCCATCCCTGGTTGCTTGCATGCACTTGTCTTGTTGGCACAAGAATGATTGTTATTTCCAAAGTAGCTGCCCATAAACCTGAATTCTATGCAGGTTTCAAAGATTGCCTGAAATTCCCCAAGAGCTTACTTAGGACTGAGGATTAAGGCTGACTGAGAAAACTGCAAACACCTAAGTACTATGCTTCTGTGCACAGGCTCATGGCTCCCTCTCCTCCTCTCCCATTCCAAGCACCAATGTGGCTCAGTCTTCCTTCCACTTATCTCTGAGTTCCAACTGCTTCTCTCCATTCTTGCAGTCACCGTCTTAGTTTTGGCCACTGTATGTCTTTCCTACCCTAGCATGTAATAGGCTAATTTACCAAGAGTGTTATGTTTGACAGAGGTCTCCTAGAGAGGCAATGGGTGGAATTGTTCCTGGAACTATAGCAGGTTATGGGCATTACATTTATGGACCTTTCAGCAGCTCCATAAATAACATTTCACTACAGGGACTTGCTCATTTATGGTCCCCACCTTTATATTCAGTTTCTTCATATGTTTTTAATTGGTTATGAGTTGATAGAAAGATACAGGCAGGTTGTTGCTAAAACAATGAAAAAGAAATAGAGGTAATCACTCCAGTTTGCCAAATAATTGTCGGCTTATGTGTGTACAAAGTCAGCCTGGGTGACCAGATAAGAGTCGTTGATTCTGTTGAAATACTTTGGGCTGGAAGAAGGAAAGTCTCTACGTTATCATGATATTTCTACCCCTAGAACTGAGGGGTAAAGTTTACACATTCATAAATAGGAAGGGTGCCTGGGGTTCTTCAGGGAACTGCCAGGGTTGACACTTGGGCCTGCACAACTCTAGAAAGGACAGGTCTGATTTGGGGATGGACGACTGGTTCTTGTTTGATTTTTGTAGCAGGTATACTTCGTTTTATTATGTTTTATTATGTTATTACTGTGCTGCACAGATACTGGATTT